TCAACACCCAAACTCAAATTCGATACAACATGGGCAAAACATAAACAAAAGAAAGATTAACTCAGATACTCCTGATAAAGGACGAGACCAAGTGTTCCGTAAATGGTTCTGCTTCGTCGATGACATCAGCTATGTAAATCTTGGATTTTGTGACATAAATACAAACACACATACATAATGCAGAGAAACTTAATCTGTTGTGATGTTCATATACGAAACATGATGATGATAACCATGACTGTGTCTTTGTTGATTAATGTGTCTTATAAGAGCTTTTGTTTGCGGCCTTGGATTTCTAGGCCATGTTTTTTTTATTTGATTTTATGATACCCTCTTATACGGAGATGTCGGTGCTAGCCATGTTTACTGTTTAAAGGTATTTCAATTGACTAAGTACATATATATTTGTGTCACATGAGAGAGTAAGGACCTTTCTTTTATTGAATATCTACTTCTATGCGGGTTCATGACGTTTTCTCCTGTTTTGGTGTCCATTTGCTCGTGTTGGATAGGACTGTAACAACATTTACCTCAAATGTCTCCCTCAGTATCAGTGTTGAAGACGTTGCCTTCTTTCCGATTACTGTTCTCTGGAGTATCGTCGGCATACTCATTGTCCTTGGTCCTTGTAGGAACTCCTTTTGCATACTTAATTTCATTTTGAATGGCTGATCAACAAAGATTTACGTATGCCATGTTGGAGATTATAGTTAAGCCGAAGACGAGAAGAAAGTGTTATATTAGCCACCACGATCTATTTGGTCAGCAGAAAGACATAAGTAAATAGAATATTCCAATGGAAACTCCAAACATGGAAGAAAAATAGGTAGAACACATTGACCTAATTACTCTTTCTAGGACTCATCAATAATGCTGATGGCCTAAAGTGTTGATACCTAAGAGGCGACTGAGGAAACACTCGAAAGATCTGAAGAAATATAAGTTCTTTTCTCTTTTGCGATACAAAGTCAAATGATGGTATTTGAAAACACGGCACTTCTTCAATTCCATTATTTGGATCGACCAAATTTTCGATGACATGGAATAACGACGCCGACCCTAACGAACCGAACCTCTTTGTCGCATCCTTGTACATTTTCCTTACACAGAATCTGAGTTTTTACCAAAAAAGTTTGTTTTCATGTCAATATATTATCTTTTTTTGACAAAGTCGTTGTTGGACAACATAAGAAGTAATGAATAATTTTCCCCATACAGTCTCCATATATAGTATTAGACATAGGCATTACGTCAACATTATTTCCGAATTCAAGTATATTCAAGAGAAATCTTGAAATTCTTCAGAAAATACATTTTAACACAACACAAACTACGGCAAACAATTAATATACCATTTTCATTCAATAGATGTTATTGTAATCGATGAAATTATATTTCAGGTACACTCAGCAATCATATCTAACACGTAAAATATGACTTTTCAAAACAAGACAATAAATACTAATGAATATGCGATCGTCACAGAAACACAAAATAGTTTAACCCTACATAGGTCCAACCGTTGAGTGGTTGATTAAAATATTGCCTTGTCTATTTCATAACGGATTTTGCTCAAGTTTAATTAACTTCATATCATATCGGCACGAGGATAAGATTCTACTTATCATAACACCACTGTATTTCAGAAAAATAACTGAAAACCCTCAATGTTATTTCCCTATAAGACAGACTCATTTGGTTGCGGATGGTACATTTTATCACTACAGAGAAAATCATATCATCTCATCAAGACTTGACTTATTTATTATGTCACAGTATCATCATTTCATATATATCGTACGATATGTATGACGTGCCCGTATGGCAAGAAACAACAGGCCAACAATGTGATAAAGTGACGTTAAACATAGGGCAAAGAGTCAAATGGACATACAGTTCCTTGTACAGGATGACCACTGATGAATATAAAACTATTAACTTACAAGTGAAAACGTCATGTTTCTGAAGAGAAAACGCTGCATTACATCCTGTAATAAAATTACAAAAACCAAGAGTTTCAGAAAGGTAAACGGTTCTTTTCTATTTTCGCCACAATATTCTAGGGATTTACGTTAGAGTATGTTTTGAATCATGGTAAACACATTTATCCGTAGCAGACCATAAAACCATGATGGCAACAGAATTTCTTCAATATCAAGCGCTGTAAACACACGTGTTTTCGGAACTTATACGATATCGTGTTTAAAATCAAACCGAAAATAAGTAAAACGCTCGCATCCTTCTATTCGTTTATTAAAATGATTTCAATTACTCCATTGAAGAATTCACACTAAGTTTCGATTTTTTTCCCCCAACACACTTGCGTATAATAACTTGTGAAATTCCCCGGCCTGAATTGTATGTGACTTTTTTTCCGACCCTGGGATTGATATTTCTTGCATGGACTTTCAAATTCCCCAGACCTATTAACGCAGCATGAAACGTAAATGTACCCGACTAAGTTTCACTCGAATCCGGACCCGTTTATCGAAGGATATGCGAGAGCAATATGTGTCTAACTCTGCACATCTGGTCTCTATTGCAAGAAGCATGGTTAGTGTACCACCTTGTTTGAAAATACCTGTGAGGTCTGCAATGGGTGTTCCGGAACACTGTTTGCCAATGTGCATGCTCTTTTGTAAAATATAAAGTAAACAATAGTTAAATACATGTAATAGGCATATAATTTTTAAATGGTGTTTAAGAGATCTAGAAATTAGTGATGTTATTATGATGAAATGCTAACCAAGGCCTAGAATAAGACCTATTAATTGCCAATAGTTGGTTATGCGAAGAAAGACAGTGGATTCAAGCCAAGAGTTTTGATTGATATGCACTTTACAGTGGTATAACATATACAAGCGAAAACGCTAAAGGAATTTCGTTAAAGGTTTAGAGACATATCACAATTCAGCGCATTAGGTATGAATCTCTTTGATGTAATATAAACTGAAGATAACGCTACATTTCAGATTGTTTTCAGGAAAATGATGTATGGTGAAAACTAAAACTTCCGTGATACATCATTCCTTTCAATAAATATCAAAATATTCATAACATCTGTTACTGAAAGTGAGATTTTCTTGACTTTGTAGAGAAACATTTCTTACGTGTCATTCAATGCATTCACGTGGAAAGATTTACCACGTTTTGAAAATATTATCTAACATTTGGGCGCAAATTAAAGAAGTGTGTTCAGTTTTGCTGTTTCCTTTGATATTTGATTTATATATATATAAACAAAAAGCATACATGGTAAATATCTTATCACGTGAAATCATTATTGAGAAACATTCAGTAAACTTTTATCTGTTGACTTGAAATATTCTTAAAAAGGAAAACTGTGTCGATTCTATGGTTGGTTTTACTCGTGTAGAGGACTTCGTCAGTGGTGTCAAACCCCTAGGGGAATAACGATTACATCGTTGCTATAGGTACTGGTCAATTTTTACGATTGCTGAGACCTTTGAGGGATTAAGCCATTAAACTTGGTATTTACGTGCCGCCTGTATATGTAGAAATAGTTATTGATTGAAATGATAAATTATGTATCTGGTCATCCCGCCCTTCATATTAAACATTCATAATTAGAACCATTTAAGGGGTCGAATGTACTCTCGTATTGAACATTTTAATAATATGTGTCTAGTGCTGAAACGTATATAATAGGAAATTCATCACATAAATGTCAATACAACAATTTCTATACAACATGAATTTGTTTAGTTTTCTTGTGGTAGAAAGCACAGATGTCAACTATAATGAATATTGGAAATACTAGTGAATATATTATATAAATACTGCGATTGTTGTTTGATGTGAATAATATAACCACGTTAAATATTCCATAGTTCTATTAACTGTGCGTTATGACACTGGGTTTTGTGCTGTTTGAAGTTATGTTTGTTCAATGCGCAATAGTATGCGTGTTGGTTTAGTTACTACATACCTGGTTCCATATTGAGAACGTGACATTACGTACTTCAATTAGCCAAGTTCACATTTGAGCATCATCTACAACACAGAAGACACTCACACTTTCCGTGAATCTGATCTTAGTCTCCTTGTATTTTTCCGTGAGCTGTCTGAAAATATTTCTTTTCTATATGCATTGCTTAAATTGTATTAATTTTGAATATGGATAAAGGCTTGATTACTTTTTTTCATGTACCCATGTTCAATATTCATGTTGGTTCAAAGTACCAGCGATGTAAACATTCAACGTGACAAACCCTGACTTCTTAACGACATCAAATGTAGCTAAATATGGAATGGTTTGTGACCGATATATTTTTTTTCAAGTTCAACTTTGGTGGAAACTGAAATATTTTCTATATCTATAACGTCATCATTGCATATCAATACCATTATACCCATTAGAAATACGTCACCAGCAGCTTTTCATATTCTTTGAATAATATCAAATATTAAACAAAATTCGTGTGACTACTGACTTATCAACCCTTGCTTGCAATAGAAACAGTCAGGATGACACCGCTTGTTTGAAGCTATCTAAAACAGTTTCTGATGATTGAGCATCTTCCCTTCATCTTAACTTGTTCCTGTTAAATGTATTTATTTGATGATTGTTGTTTTAGCCTGTGAATGTTAAATACAAAGATAAAAAGAACCCCCATGTGTGTTAGATTTGAACATATTCAAACAATCAATCCTTCAGCTAGCTGCCAAAGAACCTCTAATCTGTGTTACCAAATGTAATTCAGATTAATAATGAAACATACGATACAGATACTAAAAACGGATTCATCAATTCTTTAGACATGCTACATCTCACCAACCAAATTCCATTCCATAAGCTTATATCTATTAAGCAATTTTAATGTTCTACTGAATTGAAGTTACTGCATTTGCAATTTTGACTGACCAAACGAGTTATTTTCTAACGACTTGGCTAGCTATTCTTTTGAAATGTGACTACTGTAGTTTTAAGAGACCATATCTTTTTTTTCTGTCTCTTATTCTTTGCTTTCATCTTCCAGATTTTGGAATAAAACCGTGCAGAGCTCGGAAGTTATATGTAAGTACTATTAATGTTTTTTTTTTTTTTTTTTTTGTCAACGAATCTAATCGAGTACACAATTAAATATTCAGTGTATCGCGTTCCACTTCTACATACTATATGTAATGTATAGGTACATAAACTGTATATAACCCAAAACTACATAGGAAATTCACCATTGCTCTTTGCTTGACGTGTTTATGTTATGACATTCCAGTGTGATAACACTATAAACTTGTCCAATTATTCTTGGACTTGCCCCACGTATAGCCGTTGTCAATACAGGAAATAAAGCATTAAACATGCATGACTGATATATTGATCTTAGAAAATAAATTATGATCAAAGTTAAAATTTCTTTGTTATACTCTATGTAGTTCTAGCATTAGCAATAGCAATAGTTATGTCTTTATCAAAATAGACATAGTCACCAACGTTTCTTTTCAAAAATAAACATTTCACAGAAACATTGAATTCTGTAACTGATCCGTTCATTTGATTCAATTATATATCATCAGGGCAATCTGTGTTTATTGAAATACCACATGGGTGTACATCACATAAATATGTTTCTAATTGACATTTCTGTAAGCAATGAACTATTGCAATCAATTCGTTTTTTTTATTGCAATATATACAAAATCAGACAGGAATCAGGTCTTAAGGAGCTCCGTCTTCCCTATATTCCAGTGTCACAGTCATATTTGTTAGAAATCCACCGAGAAAAGTTCTGGGAGTTCGTATAAGGGATTTAGTGTGCAAAACTAGCACACGGTCAACAGCAATCTCAATACGTTGGCAGCAATGTTTCAGATAAAAACGCAGAAATAAAAAAAATCAGAAACGGTGAATTAATCATAATTTATCATGATGATTAAATAAGAGCTTTTATTCTTCAAGAATTATGTTTTATACTATAGTGTTTAAAATGAATGTCACATATGCGCTGTATGATGAAATACCAAAGGACATTATGAACATCTGACTGTGTTTCATTCATGAGCATTGACGATTATCAGAGATGACGTGTATCCCGTCGTATGTGTAGGGTGTAATATTAGAGACCTCATCATATATTAACTACAATGCTTTGTACAACCTATAACCATGACTGCCAAATTGTTTCTCGAGCTACAGCAACGTAATCCCCATAAGCCAAGGGTTCTAGGGGAATGAAAGCTCGACTACATCCATAAAATGTGTCGCAGCTTGCTATGTTGCCTGACGACTCCAAATTACGTTAGTGTAGCAGAATGCTTAACAGTTAAGGAAAATATTTTAATAAACCTGCGTTCTATACGGTACCACATGTCAAAGAACTAAGATCTGTTTGAAGATTTGAAAACATTCATGTGTTTGAGAAAGTAAGATGTGTTTATGGATCACCCTTTTTGATTTGTCGATCAAAACGTGTTGGACTTTTAATTAAAACATTAATGGTGTTAGGTGGTACTCACAAACTCGTTAAAACCGTCATACTTTTAGATAGCGGTCTATCCGCCAGGTTAAGGCTATGCTTCTTATGTTTCGGTCCTTTGTGATTTGGGATAACAGATTATGATAGAGGAAAACTAGTACACGTTGTGATTTGTCAACTAACCCATTATCATGTGTATACATACGATGTTCTATTAGCATCTACCAGGATTTGGCGGACACAAGAATGTTGTGTTATTTCACATATCTATGTTATATATAGTTATGTGAGTAGTGTGTTCACGCCATCGTAAGAACTCTTTATGTTAAACACCACCCCGGGCACACAATCCGTACCACACACGAATCAGTGACGTCATCAACTAACCCTTAGATACAGAGGCACACCAATTCTAAAAGATTATCCTTAGTAACACACTTCTTATACTTGTCTTTGATTCTGAGATGTTCTGGAGAGGAATGTCTTTGACTGTTGAATATTTTGAAGAACTTTGTTTATTATGGTAAACAAACTATACTTATGATTGGGGCTTAAATCCTCACAGGCGATTTTCGCAATGTGTGATCTGGCTGGATCGCCCAAAACCAAAAGCAATTTTGAGTATCATATCGCCTAATAGAAATGCGTTATCATTTTCATAAATGGGTCCTCTCGGTCGCAAGTGAGTGGGTTTTTGACAGTGAGGGGTGAGTTACGAGAGTTTGGGGTGGGCTGCTATGCTGGAATAACCCGAAGCAGACATAGATTGTACTATAGCGCCGTAAGTTTGTAATGGAAAAGGTACGTTGTATGGCGGTAATAAAGAAGTACGAGCTACACACTGCTCTGTCGTGGAGTGCTCCAGCATGACTCCCTGGTTACCGAACCCTGGACCCAGTCGTTTGGGGGTCTGTCTCGGTTCATATTCAATGCTAATTCTACTTCTATAACGTATACAGTGTAATGAATACAAACTAATGTATTCACACGAATATTACAAATCATTCATGTGATCTGAACAAATATTTCAGAAGTCAAACATAATGAAATGAGTCATTTTAAGTAAAACTCCCTTTTAGACAGTATAATGATACATGCCACTGAAACGTTCACTTTGACGAATGTACATGACATCGGAATCATGTTCTGGCATTAGTAGATTGCATGATCGTGCCTTGATGCATTGCTCTTATTCATTCGGTGGAATGTCATTGTTACCTTTCAGAGTGGTGTTTGTCTAATACCTCTTGAAACTTGCAAAATAAACGAAATATTTTTCTGTGGTCCTACAAATCTTAATCTTTCTTAAATATTGCTATAATGGTAAGTTAAAGATTAAAGTAACGAATCGTTCCATAGATATGTATTCCATCGAGTTATTTATGAACTAGATAACCAATAATATATAATATTTTGTATATAGGACACTGCACGCTGTAACTCTCCAAAGAGATGAGACTTGTCTAGAAACGTCTATCGTCAAAAGTCGTGATGTTACAACATACGATATGAACGCACGCCTTACATTTTGTGTGCTATATAAATCAAGGTCGAGATACATCAGTTTATTTCGGTTTAATTCTGTAGGTTGTAGTTGTAACTGATGCATCTGATAAAGTAGTAGTTTTAAAGACTTCCACTAGTTCACCCACTTCTGTCAGAGTAACCCGGTACGAGGTATCGCCTATTGAATCAGTGATTTACTTTTCAACAATACAATTATCACAAGCTACATTTTGAATCTGATCCTGTCTATACATATACTGGCATGAATGCAGTCTTGTCGTCATACTTTTCCTTTTTGTCTGAAACAATTGGCTCTGCTTTATAAATATAAGGGGTACTGTTTTGCGCCAACATAGCGGGGAGATATATAGATGTGTTTATTGCCGGGCATTATTTTAAGACAACACTTATCAAGTCATCACTAAGCGATATAAGAAAGGAAAGTTTGTCTCTCCACAATCCCATGGATCCGTCTGTGAGACAGGAACCGTCTTCTTGCACAAGGCACTCATTGCACTGCATAAATATGTGTACTGATCTGATGCAAGTTTGGCGGGAAACATTTGTTCTTGCATTTTCGCTTTTCGTTACGTCGCCAGTTCTGACTTCTAAAACATTTCATATCGAATTTCAAAGAGTGAAAAAATGGAAATGATCCTTTTAAAAACAAAAAGGTCAGGCTTTATTCAGACTTCTTAAACAAGCCTACATCCAAAACTATGTTTGACGGATAATCAGATATTTGGACGCCTAGCCAGTGTTACGTCAGAGCAGACATAGTTTATACCTATTACCTATAAATGTACCAGGCATTAGGCACCATATATCCCTTGATATATTTATATGTTAACATGGTACACGGAGATGTATCTATGTTCACGGTACCGCCAATCTGCACCCGAAATATGGATCTCGTTATTACAAGGTAAGTAATAACACTGGCGTGCTAGGTGCATAGAGTCAAAATAATTTATTGCTAAATGAAATAATCTTCAGCATACAATGTCTAAAGGAGCCATAATATTAACTTATATTGAGGTAAATACCGTAATGGTTTATCTAGGATTTATGTATCCAAGACGACTTGACTCTATATGCATTTAGTACATGAAGAAATATGCTGATTGCATCATTATTTCCAATAATACTGCTGATGCTGTATTTACATAGTTAGTGACTATCACTTCACTGTTATTGAACTTTTTTGAACAGACGATACTGAAACATAATCCACACGAAACATCGCGGTCTATATCAAATAGCAATTTTTCCGTATGCGAGGTACTGGCGACTGATCATGTAGCTAGATCTTGTCTCACGTGGTTTTCTGCCTATCTGGTCCATGTGGTCACAAAGTTCACAATTAAAATACTCCAACATCGAAAACAATGTTTTAGATAAATTACGCAGGAAGTGAAAAAAATTGTTTTTAAAATGTATTTTATATTCAAGATTAGCCATTAGTTCACTATTTGTTATGTGAAGGTTATGTGAGTTTATTTATTCACCAGTGATACAAATCCTTGTAAACGTTAAGCGTGATGTCAGAGACGTCATGTAGCGTAAACTATAGTTAGTTATGTTAACATAATGAGCAGTTACTTATGTTAAGTTATTGTCGCTGAGTAGTTTTATTGTTCTATAATGTATAATTAGCAAAACTGTAAATGCATTTAACATTCAAACTTTGAACAACCTCATGTTGTTGTTACCAGAGATTAAGCAATGCTTATATAAAAGGGTGCTGTAAAAACAGACAATTAAACAATATTCATTGCTAAGTACTGAGGCAAACATTAAAACACATCTCTTGAAAGAGAATAACAATACTATTCAGTATTGAGATTTTTGGTAGGTATCATGCAGTGCATTGCTGGACATATCTATTGATTATTCATACATTTTAAGCCAAATGAAAAGCTGCGTGTGAGTTTATCATCAACAGTATGTAAACAAGTTGTTTCTGTTCTTTTTCCTAAGCACACGTTTTTATGTGTTGTGTAGATGAAGCAATAGAAACATTTCAATAGAAAGGCAATGCAAAGCGGTGCCAAAGTGGGAAGCAGAAACCGTTCCGTTTATTGGATAACAAATT